TTGGCCAAGATTTTAAATAAGCAAATGATGAGTGTGAGATGCTAGAAGGGAAGTAGAAAGAGGGGGAGCACGTCAGACAGGACAACATATGCAAAAGGGGTGGAGAGAGGGAGGGATGCGCCCAGGCCTGGAACCTGGGAGGAAAAAGGAGAAGTCAGGTTGAAAGATTACGGCCATTCAGAGCAGTGTTGCCCTCTAATATGTCTAGACTTTTCTGCAAAGTCAGACAATTAGTTACATTTCTAAAAAATGTCTAGTAGAGGACACATTAGATTAGTACAGTCCTGGGAGCATGCGGGGAAGAGGAAGGCAGGCCTGGAGGCAAGGTGATGTATTGTGTGTCCACTGTGGTGTCTTGTAAGTAAAGAAATTATGAGGCTTAAATTAGAACAGTAGCAGCCAGATGCTGGAGAAGGCTGGATTCTGGGTAATACTGTGAACACAGAGGGACGTGCACGTAGAGGTTGGAGGAAAGGGTGCATGATTCAGTAGCTGGCTCTGGTAGTCTTAACGCTGTCACCATAGAAGCTGAGGATAGATTCCGAGAAATAGGCCGGAATGAGAAGACACTGCAGAGCATTCAGGAAACACGGGGCTGTGTGGCTCGATGGTCAAACCACATAGCATAGCTCTGCTGGACGTAGCCCTGTATATAGCCCAGGAAGGAGAGGACTAGGACAGCACACCCGGAAGTCCTCCTCATTCGGGTCAGTGATTGCAAACCTGTTAGAGATCAAGCGCCCAAACTGCAACTAAGACTAAAATTCCACCTCAACACTGAGCTTTTAGTGTAGGAAAAACAACTCTACATTAACATCTTTTGTCTTAAAAGAAAAATATAACTCACATGCCAAAGGTTCCCCGTCACTGACCTCTGTACTAAGAAGGTCAAGTCATGCTACGGGGAACGGATGAGGAATCAGTGGATAGCAGTATTACTGGACAGCAGTCTGCACCTCCGTCACACAGACTTCCCCATAGTCATGAAGCCTGAGCGTAATGCAGGCCATAAGGCAAGGAGAGAAGCACTAGACTGCCCAGTAACTTCGAAAAGATCAGATCAAAGACATATAGCAATGTAAGTGCATCTCAAAACACCACAATGGCTGTGCTGGGCCTGGTGGTGCACACCTGTTACCCTAGCACTGAGGCAGGAGGATTGGTGCAAGTTTCAGAGCAGTGTGGGGGACACACACACGCTAAAGTAGTCAAACACAAAACAAACATAATGTATACTTCCATCTATATGAAACTGTAGAATAGGCAAAACTAACCTATGGCAGTAAAAATCAGATCAGTGTTTGCTGCTGGGGGGATAAAGAGGAACCAAAGGACCATAGGGAGTTTTCTGCTCAGAGAAACATGCTATTTCTTGCTAAGGGTGAAGGTACTATGAGTATATGTGTTTTTCACAAATGATAGAATAAGAATCGCACTGTGTGTAAATTATATCTTAGTTTAAATCATCAGAGCATAAAGTTGTATACATTCACATAAATAAAGACAAAGGACTATGTAAATAAGTTGTATCTGACTAGTGGAACTATGAGCTATTCTTGATTAAAATTTTTCTTTTCATACATTGTTTTTAAATAAAAAGGATCTTTACAACTTCAAATGCCAATACACATTTATCAATTACCCATGAAAATGGAGGACATATACTTTTGCCCCAGAAGCAAGCAGGAAAGAATCTCTGCATTAAGGACTTTACTATCTGGAGACAAGGGAGACAAAAGATCTGTAAACACACCAGGTTAAAATAGCAAGAGAGGACTGGACCAAGGGGAGTGTGGTGGTTTTGTTTTTAGGAGACTGAAAGGGTTGTTTTAAAAGGTTTTGCAGAAGCAAGCAGTGAAGTGCTCCGGGGGTGTGTGGCTCAGCAGGCAGAAGCATACAGACGGTTCTGCCATGAGCTGGCTTAATGGGTAGGGGACATGCTCATCCTGAAAATGACTGTCAGTGCACAGTGAGGATGAAGAGTGGACCTGAGAGTCGAAAGGGCAGAAGTACAGACTTTGGGTTTCACAATGCCTGCATGTATTACTATCTTTCATTCTTGGGAATATTTTGTAGTTTGAGAACCCTGCCCCCATACTGGGAAGGTAAAGAAAAATTATCCAATGGGACAGTGACATTAGTGACCCTGCATCATTCTTCTGGAAGGAAAAGTAGACACTGTGACAGTGGGGGTAGGGATGGCGATGATAAAGTGATGGGAATTCTCTCTGCTTGAGTCCGAGACAGGCCGGGTCCTGTGTCACTGCTTCTTATGTATTACTATTCTACTCAGGCTCTGCAATGATTCAGCAAAACACATATAGACTTCATATCACTAACAAAGAAACTGGAGTCAAAAAATTTAGGTTACCAGTAACTAGGAATGGGTGGGTAAAAGCTTAAAGACTATCAACTCCGTATACTAAACTCTCCTATACTATGAAAGGACGGATCAGATCTCACTTCCTTTTGTGTCTGAAGAGTCTGCCTGAGGGATTTCTAATATTTCGTTTAATGAATATTCCTTCTCGTATTATATCTTATGCCCTCACAAAACAAAAAAAGTGGTTAATTACTATACTATAAAACTGCATATATCTTAATGCCCATTACCCAACAGCAGTTAACACTTGGTCTTAGGTGCTTTACAATTACCTCGTGTGATTCTTACAACCACCCTTGGGGCAGGAAATTATTACTGATATAGTAGAGAAAATAAAATTGGGACAAAGACATACAGCATGACTTGCTCTAGGTCACCCAGCTACTAGGGCATTGAGCCAGGATGCTGTGACAATGCAATCCTGAGCACTTCACTGTTTCAAGTTTTTAAAATTAGAGTTTTGAACTCTGCTATGAAGACCTATCTCTTTCTCTCTCAGTCCTGCTAAAAATTACAATCCAGCTGGAAGCCCTGATACACATTCTTCCTAGGCAGTCTCATCACAAGCATTAAAGGATTTCTTTTCTACCTCCATAGTGCCAAACTCTTAACAAAATGCTTTAAGCTATTACTTGAGAAATGCTGTCTTATTCAACAGCACAATGACACAGTCCCTGAGTACAGTTCAGGAGGCACAGCAATATGAACAGGCCACCATTGTGTCCTGACACTTAGCAGCAGGAAAAGCACACCAGGACACAGTCCCCTTTATCACAGATAGAAGATGAGAGTGAGTACAAACTGGCGGTTATTTCCTGACAGGCTGCATGCCTAACTGGAGGTGCTGAGTACCTGGGTCCCAATTTAAATTGCTTAACTGTGTCATCCACTGAAAGGTAAAAGAGGATCCCCCATTCAAGCAGACTGAATGAGCCCAGTGTTCCGTTCTGGTTCTGGCCCTCCCTTGGAGAGAGGCTGAAATGTGAAACACTATGTAGGCTCATCCCTACCTCTACTGGAGTGTAATAAACTCCAAAACACACAAAAGGCCCCTTTCCTAATCTTCTGACTCTGTATTCATTACAATATTTAAAACACAGACAAAAACAAAGTAAGTTGGTCATTGGGGCAGCCAAAGGGGCAGCAGTGAAGCCAAGTCACAGGCAGGAAGCCTCCTGTCTCTGAGGACTGGGCTGCTTGCTCCTCACACCTGGTTTCCTCATACTGTTTTACTAGTTGTCTGAAGTTTTGTCTGTCTTAAAATTACTTTTCCATATGGTGCTTTTAATTTCCAGAGCCTAAAATAACATGAGGAATGCTATCTTGCCTAGGTATTCAGAGGAATTCAGACAGTGAACCAAGAGTTTGGCTTTGCTTCTCATTAGAAGGCAAAGGAGATGACAAATAGAGAAAGGGCTGACACCACATGCAATGGTGCCCTTTGATCTTTGCCCTGGTTGGGCCAGGGTTGGTGGTAAAGTAAGACTGCCCCAATCTAGCAAGTTAGATTGGCAATGCTTAACACATTCCTTCCAGCTGGTGGTAGAAGTGGTATAGTTCTGCATGGGACAGTCACTGGTTTAAGCCACCCAAGAGTGACACATACAAATTCAAGTCCCATCATGAATGTGTTAAACTCTGGTTTTGTCCATAGAAAAACAGTTTTTTTCAGAACCGGGGATTGAACTCGGGTCCTTGCGCTTGCCAGGGAAGTGCTTATTCCACTGAGCCATCTCCCTGCCCCTGGCAAATTATTTTCAAATTGGATGAACATAACATGCTTTTCTGTTACCTTTGCATGCACTACTTATGCTCTTGCCTATGCACACCTTCAGTGGAAGTGGCCAGCAAGCATGGAAAACTGCAAAGAACAGGAAAGCAGCCTTGGGACAAACAACTTCTGGCCTGGCTGGGGCTGGACTGAGGAGCCGCTGTAGACCAGAGGGCCCCACAGCAGTCACTCCAGCACAGCAGTAGGGGGACCTTCTCTGTCCTGCAGCAGCACGTCAATGGCAGATAAGAATTGAGACAGTCCAGCCTATGAAGAGAAACACTAGTGTCTCAGACATATGCCGTCCTGTGGCGCTGGGTGCTCGTTCACCTTCAGCCCCATCCTAGTTCATAGATGAGCACAGAATATGCCTTTTTAAGATAGTGCTGTAACAGTGTCCTTTAAACTTTATATTCACTCCTCACAAACCATCCCTGGGAAGGATAATGTAATTACTGCTATCAGAGAGGGAATTTTCTCAATGCTCTTTAAGTTGAAAAATGGTTCAGAAAACAAAATGATGGAATTATTTAACAGGAATTTACGTAATGACAAAAAAAAAATCATTCTGCCACTCTGTCTTCAGCAAGAGACATGCTTTGGTCATCAGAGGCTCTGCTAGGCTTAGTGAGATCAGTGCCAGGAATTCTGTGAACTTGAAGTCAAGCTGCCAAGATTCAAAAGAAATGTTGATAGTTAAGTGTTTGCAGAGATACCAGATAGCAAGCAAGAACAGCTGCCATCTGTTACTCCAGCCTTGATGCAGACCAGAAAACAAAATTTTCCAGTTTTTCCCTTGCCCCATAAAACTTATCACCACCAACCCCCAAAACAAAAAGCTCTTACCTAGCTCTCCCCGGAGGTTCACAAGTTCTTGAGATAGGGTTTTGTGTTGTTTCAGCGTTTCTTCCCGCTGCGGAAAACACACATCGAGTTACTAATGTTTTCAAGAGGGTCGCTTTTCAGTCAGACACATTTGTTATCACCAGGAAAACGAGACCCAGAATCAAGAAGCCAAGATATGAATCATTTAGGCCAACACCATTTGTGTTGTTGAAAAACACAGATGCTTCTTAGTTGTGAAGGAAATCCATGTTTCGAAAGTCTATTTTTTCAGGTCCTTATGAAACTTTCCTTTGAGAAACTGAATGGCTCATTGAAAACTATTTGCTTTGAGCCAGAGCTTTGCTGCTGATCCCCAGTACCTTTCAACTAATGCATACTGTACTTACGATGAAATGCATTCTCCTCCTCCAAGGGCAGTAGAGGCCTAATCGGTCTAAGATAAATATTTAATGTTCTAAACATAGGCACTTACGTATACTTTGCCCTATAATCACAGATAATAAAGTTTTGCTACAAGACCAATTCTTAACTTCTAAAAGAAAGACAAAAATGTTTGTTACAAAGCTATGGCAAAAAAAAAAAAAGTCTCTTAAGGAAGAAAAATGAATTGATTTCTCTAGCTGCTCACAGTTTTCAAGGATTTACAGTTAGGTAAATGTTAGAAAAATGAAACAAAAGAATCTAGGCAGCTATTTCAATATTTAAAAAGCAACCATCAACCTTATAAGAGAGAATCATTTTCAACTTACCAACAACCCCCAGTACACATCCACACACACTCATACAAATACAGCAGTTACACAGAGTTCTTCCGAGCTAGATTCCCTAGCACCAGGGCATAACTAAGGCAGCCACAGAATTTTACAGCTCTAGAAATGCCCTCACTGGGATGGCCCCAGATGTAGCTCCCACTGCACCCCGATCACAGATTGCAGAGATCATAAGATTCATCTGCCTTTGCTGCAAGAGTTGCTTGTCATTCAAAGCATTTCCCGGATTCCAGACACCCTCTGCCGAAGTCCCTGACATTCTTCCAGAAAAGCACTATAAACAAAAAACTAATTACCCTTGTTGCTGCACATGGAGGATAGATGCACATTTTGCTGCTGGGGCAGCCCATTTTCCAGCTTCTGTCTCCAACTCCCCACCCCCTGCACTGTCCAAGAAGTGTACAGGTGGCTGTGCCACCCACCAGGCGGGTCTGCCTACATTCAAAGCTCCACCAGGAGGAGCGCCATTGGCCCTTGGTGGCCTTGCTGCACGTCCTGCAGGTTACCGTAAGCCTCAGACTCTTCTCTCCCCACAGAAGCTGATACTGCAGCTTCTGCCTTTGGCACAGGCAGCCTGCGATTACTTAAAGCAATAGCCCTTCATTTATGAAAAACGAGAGCCAGACGTTAGACTGATCGATTGCCACTTACTTAAATATCAACGGGGACAATGGAAACAAAAACTGACCCTCTCTGCATAGATAATGGAAGTATTTTTAGATTTGTGAGCCTTTTTACTCCCTCCTCTAATTGAGGTCATTAGATTATCACACTTACTAGTGGAAAAGAGAAAGTTGCTCTTCTAAAGCCATATACTAAATGAGGTTATAAACTAAGTGAAGGACAATGAAAAGGGGTGTATTGTGATTTAGAAATTTAAGGGACATTATCAAATGAATGATATTCCCCCCAATATTTAATTTGGTTGCTTAGAATGTCGTCCACTGATTTAAAAAAAAACTTAGAAGCACTGATTTGAGCATTAGAGGTTGTAGATATCTTACTGCCTACTTTGTGCTAGTCTCTTACTAGTAGCGGAAGATTAAAACACAAGCATTTTTTCTTTTTAAATTTGATACAGGGTCTTGCTACACAGCTCAGACTTGTACTGATCCTGCTGTCTCAGCCTCCCCAGTGCTGGGACTACAGGCATGCGCCACCACAGCATGCAGTACTGGGGATTGAACCCGAGTCTTCGCACTTGCCAGGCAAACAGTGAGACCACTGAGCTACCTCCACAGCCCAACACAAGCATTTCTGCATGAAGAAGTAACAGCTATTAAAATTTATTCAATATTTTTACCATCAAGTACATTTAGGTCTTAATGATAGCCTAAATGCTTCATTTGTAAACACATGGCATTAAGTTGTTCTGAATCACAAATCTGTGCGCTAAAGTTTTAAAAATAATAAGTAGGACTGGGGTTATAACTCTGAGTAGAGCACTTCCTAACATGGACAAAGCACTGGGTTCAATCCCCAATGTCAGAAGAGAAAAAAAAAAAAAAAGTCACTGGGTTTCTAATGTAAAAAAAAATTTAGGACAATCAGCCTGGGTAATAATGAAAGAAAAATATACTGATCATGTCCTTCCCTCTTAATTTTGTAAATTTAAACCTTAATAATGTAGTTCAGATAGCAGCAGCATGGTTTATTAGTAAAGTGACAGAAGAGCCAGAATATGGCTTATTAAACCTCAATAAGGAGTCCTGATACACATTCGGTGAACTTGCCTCAAGTTCTCTAACAGCAACCATGCAGTTAGCAGAAGAACTGCAGGAGAATTAAATTACCTTTCAAATGCATAGAAACTAAAAAGAAAAAATTGAAAATTATGGATGGCATCATTTCCAAGGACAATTTTATAAAAGCCATTATGTTTCATGACAAACATAACCAGGTGCCATTTGTGCTCTTCAAGGGGGCTTGGGAGAAGAGGCCTCTCCCCACTGCGCTGCACACAATCATCCAGTCCTCCCTATTTCAGAAGCATTTTACATACTCTGCTCGCACAGCAAGAGGAGAGCCCTGTGGTCACCTCTCCTTGCTGGTCTCAAAAGCCTGTGAGGAAGTCAGCCAGTTCTCCCTTCATAACGCATCTTGAATCCACTGTACTTGCTCTCTTAGCCGCCACTCTCGCCATGATCCTCACCAACTCAGTCCCAGGCAAAGAACAGCATCTCTTCACCTTTCAGAGGGCTCCCACCTTATCATTCCATATTCTTTGTGCATATAAATTCCCTTACTCAAAAAAAAACCTCTCATTAAGTGAATGAAAAACCAGAAAACAACTAGAGCTCAGTGATAAGAGTGTGTGTTTAACAGACTTGAGGCTCTGGGTTCGAATCCCTGCACCACAAAGAGTCATCACAGATCTGTGTCACCCAGCTCTGTTCAGACTCCCAGCCTCTTTTCTGTGCAAGTTGCAAGCATCATGCCTGTCCCACAGCTCCGTCAATGCTACATCCCTGGATGCCCCATTTTCTTTACCTGACCCATCATATAAACCTTCCTGAAATACTAAATGTCAGTCACAGACACCATTCCCCTTCCCTAAATGTCTAGGAAGCACATTTGTCCTGGATTGGTGGGCAAGCTATTACTCTGTATCAACTAAGCATTTTTCATGGTATATGCTATAAAAAATATGTAAGAAACTTAAGATATGGCCACCATTTTCAAGACGCTATGGTGGGACTGAAATGTTCAGTTCTTAGGTCATCGAACAGATAACTTCCTTTGAGAGGAAGCAGTACAGGGCTTTCAATATGATTCTTAAGTGAAATGCTGACCACCGAAGCCATATCCTCATAGACATATGCTAAGTATTTCTGCCTGCCTTTCTTGTTAGCTTGCCCTTTAAATGTACTTATCATTTACTTGTAAATAAAATATATTTTGTCAGTGAGATACTGATACACCGTTTCTTCTTATTCAGATACTCCTAGATTAGGCTTTCTGTCTTAGTTGATAAACACTTTCTAGACCAGATAACAAGTTTATTTGATTCTCTGCATTGTAACATGCAGGATTCCATACCCACAGTATGAGAAAAGAGAAAGGTAGAAAGACATTTCTTTATTCAGGCATTAAACAGATGAAGTAATCCAAGAAAGACATGGATTCACTATAATAGGGGTCACCAGGATGCAGCACTTGGCCGCTGGCTGCCGTCCCATAAGATGGTGTGGATGTGGCTATGCCTACTCTCCTCCCCATATGATGACTCTGTCCGCGTGGCCACTGTCTGCAGTCTGAGCCAGTTTTACTTAGACAGTTAATGGCATTCAAAAATTCAGCTTGGATTACGTGCTACTCTAGGGTTTGTTTTTTGTTTTTTGTTTTTTTTTTTTTTTTGGAAGGGTCTACTGGGTGTCCAGGGTCTCCTTGCTAGATCAGACTCATAGTGATCCACCTGTTTACAACTTCCCAAGAGCTGAGATTACAGGCATGCGCCATCATGCCCAGTTTCAATTGCCACCTCAGCGCGCCCCAGGGGCAGGGCCTGCACAGCAGGTCTGGGGATCAAACCCCTGGCCCCTGCACCTGCTTGCAGATGCTTTAATCCATTGAGCTATTTGGCCAGCCTGCTACTCTAGTTTGGATTCCATTTACAAAAAAAAAAAAAGTCTTGGAGACACTCTGAACAGTGAAATCAGAGCATGGGGAGGCCCTCAGTCCTGTTTAGCTTTCCTAGAAATCCACATAGGCCTTTTTTCATGAAAACACTGACCTCACCATCAGCACACTGCGGCTCAACCTGGCTATCTGTACATAATATTGTTCTGCCACACAGGGTGGGCCAAGAATTAGGACTGAAGCTACCATTAGTGTGCCCTTGGCAAGACAGAAAATGACAGACGTTTCTACATCAATGAGTTATTTATCAGAACAAACACATGATAACATGTGTTTGTGTTACAGTTATTTATGCATACTTGCAACAGAAGAAAAAGTAATAGCTCTCACTTTAGCCACTGTCAAACATTTTCACTCATAACCTAATAACTCAAAATCATTTAAAATGTCTGGGGCTGGGGAGATGGCTCAGTGGAATAAGCGCTTCCCTGGCAAGCACAAGGGCCTGAGTTCAATCCCCAGTGCTGCAAAAAAAAATATATATATAATAATAATAAAATAAAATGTCTGCAATCAGGGCTGGCCAGCTAGCTCAGTGGACTAAAGCACCTGCTTAGGCAGAGCGCAGTGGCTGGAGTTCAATCCCGAGTGTGTCATGCCAGCCCCACACCCAGGGTACACTGAGATGACGACTGAGACTGGGCGTGATGGTGCACACCTGTAATCCCAGCGCTTGGGAGGCTGAAAACAGGAGAATCACTACGAGTCCAATCTATGTAGTGAGACCCTGTAGTAAGTATCAAAATAAATAAATTAAAATGACTGCAATCACTAGATATGCACAATACTTACACTTCATATTTTATACATTTATAAAATATATGTACAATTATGATAGAAAAACACAGTATGCTTAAATTTTAAAATTATCATAGTGAAAGACACAGTACCACTAATCTCCCTCAAGACACTCCTCTCTTCCAACACACTTAGGCCATCTTTCCAGCCACTTTCTAAAGCTGTTGTGAAAGTCCTTTTTTGTGAGCATCTTTAGTTGCACTGCCATAGCTGTGTTGATCCCCTGCATAGACTGAAAATATTTACCTTTCACAGTCATTCTAGCCACACAGTACCAGATGTGGTGCATACGGTAGATGAGGACACGTGTGCGTGTTCATGAGCCTGCCCTCACGCTGGGCGGCATTCAGGAACAGCATGCACTGTATTTGTGACCACACCACAGAAAGACACTCACAGAAGAGGACTTCCAGAGCTGATTCAGAAAGCAGCAAGAATGTGATGTGAATAAAGCCAGAGAGAGTGTTTCTAAGTGAGATTAATAACAATGTGTCTTTTATGTACTAAACTCTAAAAAACTAAACATTTTTGACCATGCCAGGTTGATATACAATATGTGTGAATATATACACACATACTTCTGTAACAATGAGATTTATCATTGCGCTCTGCCTAAGCAGGCACTTTAGTCCACTGAGCTAGCTGGCCAGCCCTGATTGCAGACATTTTATTTTTTTATTTTTATTTTTTTGTGGAACCGGGGATTGAACTCAGGCCCTTGTACTTGCCAAGGAAGCACTTATTCTACTGAGCCATCTCCCTAGCCTCAGACATTTTAAATGATTTTGAGCTATTAGGTTATGAGTGAAAATGTTTGACAGTGGCTAAAGTGAGAGCTACTACTTTTTCTGCGTTGCAAGTATGTTTAATAACTGTAACACAAACGTGTTATCGTGTGTGTTCTGATAAATAGCTCATTGATGTGGAAACTCTGTCATTTTCTATCTCTCCTAAGAGATTCAGGGACTCTTTTAATTGTTTAATGTCGCTTTGGTTATGTCTTTCCTTTGTGACCACTGTGTAACCATATGTAGACCTCCAGCCCAGTAAATTTTTAACCCAGTGTTAGATCCATTTTCCCCACACACAAACACCTGATAAAGTATTTGGCTTATGCTGAAGAGCCAGGTTATATGGGGAAAGAGCATTTTAAACAGCTAAGGTTATGCCTAGTGCAGAATGTTCATGTCACACGAGGTATGAGTGGTACACAGCTGTCTTTCATCTCACATCTGTTGGTGCTTTGCTCACTGCAGGGCAACAGAAGGCAGGACTAGTTCCTTTATCTACTTTGTGTATTTACTTTTGTTGTTTGTACAATGGCTCTGTGTAAGTTAAACGCAGGTACTGATGTGATAGTACTGAAGAAAGATCTGCATAGGTAAGCATGACAGGGCCAGAAGTAGCCCAATAACAGTGTAAACAAGATAAAAAGTACAGGAAAGTTTGAGTCCCTAAAGTCCTAGCCTCTCGCTCAAGTCCTGGTCCTCTTGCTTGTTGTTTGATGTTTCTTGATAAGTCTATTCCTCAATTTTCTTACTTACAAATTCCAATTCACTGTGGTTTTGTTGAGGATGTAATAAGTAAGAATATCTAATACTTAGCAGATAGTTTAAAAATATTAAATTCCTCTACCTCTCCTCTAGCTCTCTAATACACAGCCTTACAGTGAGAATTGAATGCAACAACAGAAAAGGCAGTTGGTGTCAGATTACAGAGCTCTGCATTCCCAGTTATAACCCATAACCATCCAAAACAAATATGACTTATGTAATTTAAATTTTCCTAGTAGCCACAATTTTAAAATTAAAAAAGAAGCAAACTTTGATACTGTTCCGAACCCAAATATGTTCAAAATATCTTCACAGTCAACAAAAAATTATCAAATACATCTTATATCTTTTTAGAAGTCTTTTTGAAATCTGTATTTTTATACCTACCACATGTTGCAATTCAGACTGATTATAATTCCCATGCTCAATAGTCTCCCTAAGAGTAGTGGCTACAAGAAAAAAAAAAAAAAAGCCTAGTGACTAGGATATAAGATAGACCAGCTGTAGGCTATGGAAAGCCACCAGCATAACTAATCAGCAGAATCAGCAGAATGGCATACTCAGCAGCCAGGTGTGGTGCTGCATGTCCGAATTCCAGCACTCAGGAAGCCGAGGCTGGAGAGTTCCCATAACCAGCCTAAGCTACATAGTGAGACACTGTCTCACAAAAATAACCAAACAAAAATTGTTTTTAACAGTGCTTGGGACATATTATAGGAGGGAAACAGTACAAGCATAAAGACTGATCTGAATGAAGAGGACGCTGGTAGGGAATAGCCAAAGTAAGATGAAGAGAGGAAATACTACAGGTCAAAAATTTAGATGATCTCATGACTGACTTCATGTGGGAGGTGAAGGTGAGCAGAGCGGGGAGGATGGGGCTGTTAGGCTGTGTACGATGAAATAGTTGGTTATCTCAAAACAGAAAAGCAAAATATTCCCTACAATCAACTTTATGTGGTTTTCAGACTAACCTACTTTGTTATAAAAACCAACTCAAATTTCTCTCTTACTTAGTTAAGAGAAACAAACAGTAACATTTAGGTAAACATCATCTTGCAGGCAGCACAGTGGCCAAGTGCCTGCTTAACATGCACAAGGCAGCAGGTTGGATCTCTAGCCCCACACAAGCATACACAGAGACAGAACTACGAAACAGTCATCAAATATTATTCAAAAGTGATTATTGTCTTGGTTGCTCCTCAAAGGCATGGACTAAACCTTGCTGACCTCTGTCCACGTCCCTAAATTAAAAAAAACCCCTCTCTCTAAGTAGACAAACCTATCACAGTAGTCTCTGCCTGAAACCAGTATAGGTTTGTTGGACTGAACTTAACTATGGAACAAATGGAACCAATTTCTATTGAGTTGTTACATATATTCATCTTTAAGACTATGATTAAAATATATATGAAGAGCTCAAGTTATGTTCTTGCCCATTTCCCCTTAGAAAATTGTAGCTTTTATTACTACATAGACCAAAATAAGTAGACCAATAAAAGTTTTTTTTAAAAAAAAGAATGGTACTATGGGTCTACAGGCTCAAAAAAGCACCACAGACAGTGATCTCTCCCCTACTCACCTTCTAATTGGAGACCCTAGGGGAGAAAAGGAAGTACTAAGAGAATGCCTCCATTGCAAATTTCTGGAGACTGACTGGGGTATCAGGTGAGAAAAAAAAGAGTGGATGAACTGTACCTGACCTTTCAATCATTAATTTAAATATATTCACAAGACAAGGGCTCAATCACTGTGGCTTTTCAGCTGTCCTGGAGTGCCCCACCAATACCCCAGAGTCCACCACCCCAGAGAGCGCCCATCCAGAGGCCTCACATGCTCACCTCACACAGCAGGTGCTGGATCACAACTGTCAATGCTTCAAGCTTGATATTGCCTCGGGACAGAAGCTGCTTGAGCTGCAGGATAAATCCACTTTGGCTTTCACATTTCGTTTTATACTGAGCCAATTCAAGTGCTTTCTCAGAGGACAGCACATCTGGAGATGTCTGTGTCTGGATGCATAGACTTCTGGGATTCTTTTGCCTGCCCCTTTCAACTGCAAGAGGAATTAATTTAGCACAAAGATATGTGAGGTTAATTCTTATAATCAGCACTACATGGGTTCAAAACCAACTCAATAAGCCATAGAAATGCATTTAAATTAAATGCTTACAAAATGCTTACAAAAGGAATTCATATGGGTAAGGACTGGAGTTGATCAAAGATCTACATGTTTGGAATTCACAAACATAATGGCTTTAGTTCTAACTTTCAAGGATCTACATGATGCAGAGAATTATGAATATGAAATAAATAAATTTAGAAGCCCAGAAACATGAAAATAATATGTTAAAACTTGATTTCACAGGTTTTTAAGTTTCCACTCAAATTGGCAGGGAAACTTGATGGTGGTTACTATTCTGACTGTCCAATCACTTATGCAGAAAGGAAAATACAAATTATTGAACTTTCCATGTCTCTCACTCTTCAACATTTTCTAAAACCATGTCATCCTTTGATTGCTGGCAGCCTGGTCTTTACAAAGTTTAATACTGCAGATGTGGCATTATCTAATCTCTAATAAATTAGCACATATATTGAAGGTCTACTCACATTTTGCTTCTTTCAATTAATGGTTAAGAATGCAATTACTTGGCTACTATTTCATTTGCTATCAAGCTTTGCCCCCCCCCATAGTAATAATGGGTCATACATTTAAGAGCACATGCTAATACTGCAAACCCATGTAAGGTGTCACGCACGGTGATTATTCACTTCTTATGCTGCCATACCCTAAGAGGAACTCTGTTTTGAAAAACCATTTAGTTTTGGAACCATTCCAAGTGTCTCAGTCACTTTAAATATCAAACAGAATTGGAAAAACAGGAAGCAAATTGCTTATCTTCTTGAAATAGGCCAAACACAAGAAAAGTAAAACTGTAAATGTTTCCTTATTCTGACATACATTCTGTGGCATCCACATTCTGTGGTCAAAAACAGATTGGAGTGAGACTTGCTGAGCACTCAGGGATTGTTTTCTGTAATTTTTGAGGGAACTGCAAACTATGATCCTGATTACTTGAAAGGAAATAAAGAAGCTTCAGTATTTGAAGAACCAACTGTAAAATACATTTAATATATTCTAATTATAAAGCAGTAAAAAGGTTTTTGCTTCTTCTGGTTGCTTTACAGGGTTAGACAACGCATCTTTATATCAATATTTGATAGTCCGCAGTTTTAACATGACTAAAATATCTTTTGTGTTTATTAATACTTAAAGAGACAATTTATCCATTATTTATTAAGGAAGTTGTTTGCCAGTGCTTGCAACTTCCCTTGTAAATGGAAAAGATATTCAACTTGATAGTGTCATGATATTACAATACAGAAGAGCAAGTTATTAGTCACTATATTAATGAAAATAATCTAAATAATTGACAACTTATCAAGATATCTGTGATTACTAATTTTATATTTTTATTTTATATTCTTTTCTTCTAAGAAACTGTATTTGTCACATTATATATAATAATTACACAGTGTTTCACCATTCAGTGTTCTCCAGTGCCACCCCTCCACCACTTACTGAGACTGTTCCACCATCCCTCAACTCATGTCCTCCCGCCTCAGCCTGCACACAGGTGCGTGTATCCACACCTGGACTTGATCTTCTGACACTCCCAGTAACCGAGGTGAGGACAATACAGCTTATGGAGGTAAAAGGACTTCCCCAGGCCTTTGACACAAGTCTCTAACATTCCCACACCTTTGGAGAAGTGGATTAGGTAGAGATATAATATATTTCTGAATTTTAAAAATATACTATAAACGTAACAAAATATTAGTTTAAAATATTCCACTTGTATACATCCATCAATATGAGGAGAATAAGGAAAATGTGGTATATATATACAATGGAGTACTACTCAGTGACAAAGAAGGACAATTGAGTCATTTGTAGGAAAATGGATGAATCTTGAGGCCATAATTCTTAGTGAAGTAAATTAGTCACATAATAAATTAGTCTCAAGATACTACTAATAGGAGAGACCCTAACTATAAATGAAGACCAAAATAAAGACCCATGTTAAGAAAGAGGGAAGCAATCTGTAGAGATGGGCAGGGGATCTGGGAAGGGAGGAGAGGAGAGTGTGGAGAAGAGTATTATAAATATGAAAACTCTAAGCAGAGGAGAATCATCATGTATCCCAAACATGCACTAATAAAAAATATTCAAGCTAAATAGGAGCTCATTATCTTGACTGACATCACTGTACAATGTCCTTTCAAAAGTTACTTTAAAATTCATTTATAGATTGTTACACTGCTTTTCAATTTCTTTTTTTTTTTTTTTTTTTTTTTGTGGAACCAGGGATTGAACTCAGATCATTGCACTTGCCAGGGAGGCACTTATTCTACTGAGCCACTTCCCCGGCCCCTTGCTTTTCAATTTCTTGACTCCTCCATGTTTGATTTCAGAAATTTTATGCCTACTGAGATTACTTAACACAACATCAGAATTTTAAAACTGTCAAGCTATGATTATTTGTAAAATCTGAGGAGACTCTTTTATATTGACATTTTTGAAGAAAATCTTAAGATTCTTGTTTGCTTATAAATGAATGAAAGACATATTGCAGAATACATATAAAAGTATGAACACTGTTTACCTTTTCAGGTTAAGGAACAAAAAAAATCACATGGATAAACTAAGACTATTTTTTAAGAATAGACTATTTTTACTTTTAAATCAAATTTTGTATTTATTTTTTGAGAGAATATATTCATCCCTTGGCTTAAAAGTATAAAAGATGTCTTAAATTTAAAATAGAAATAAAAATACAAAAAATGACTGAAATGAGTTTGGAGCACTTAAACCCCTAGGCACTGTTTAATCATTAGGAGAATACAATCTTCTTGGATTTCTTCTTGGGTAACCTGTATAAGAATCTAAACAACACCAGTTTTGTTAGTGGCTCAAAATAAATTTACAGTTGAGGAAGGAACACAGTAGCTTGCTGCTGTTCTAGGAATACAGTTCTCCAACCGTACAAAGTGCCCTCTACCTGCAGCCAGAAAAGCGTGTTGTGACCTCAATCTTCCGCCCCACAAGCTGCACTCCCCCAGGACAAAACGGCAGCACATGGCAGCTGATGACCCAGTTTGTGCCTCTTTTCCTCTCCTCATTCCTGCTCAACCAAAGACGGGAAATGATGCAAAACTCTCCAACGATGTGCAATCCCCCAGGGCTCACGGAAATAGCATACTTCATAAGGCAGAAAACCCATGGGATTCCCTTAAATCCCTCAGGACTTATTATTTACATGAAATTACCATAATATATACCAGACTTTGCTCTTTGATTCTTCCATGAGCTTACATACTCGGATATTGCTGTTTTGATAATGCAGCTGTGTTTAAAAGTATAAGCTGTTTTATTATATCTAATAAAAGAGCATGTTCAGATTTCCAAGAATCAATTTAATCAGAAATCTTAAAATGTCATGTTAACTTCTGGGTCAGTTCAGATTTCTCTCAATTAGATACAGTAATTACCATTATCATTTCGGATCTAACCCCACTGGGATTCATTCTAATGACTGAAACCTCTTTTATAAAACAAGTCTGGGGCCAGGGAGCCAGCTCAGTGGCTGAAGAGCCTGTCTGGAAGCTCAAGGTCCTGAGTTTGATCCCTGTTACAAAAAAAAAAAAAAAAAGTCTGGAATCAAAAGATACTTGCCCACTTAAAAAACAGCTAAATAACTTTGCTTTCTTTGTTCCTTCTACTCAGAAATCTCAATACAATAAGTCTGATCTGATTTATCTTCTTCTTACAGAACTGATCAGGGAAAGAGAAACAAGCCAATTTTTCAGGCTCAAGTCAGCTCATTCCCCATCTCCAGATTAAGAGCGAGTTTTGAGAGAGCTTTTCCTGTTAAGCCATGGACGAACCCTGATCACAAAGACCAGCTGAGGCCACAGTCATCTGCAGGCTGAAATGTTGTACATTTACGGAACCTGCCAAAATAATATAATCAACTTAGAGACATGATTAGTGAGCCTTGAGTTCCATGAAACGCAGAATTCAGTAGCCAGTGTTGTACAGTCCTATCGGCACATGCTCACTGGCCTGCTTATTCTCCAAATATTTATCCACATCCATTGCACAGCTCTTCTCAGGCTGGCAGGCCTGCCTTGGCGCCTTGCAGGTGGGGAGCCATCATGCAGGAGGGCAGCACTGCACAGGGAAGCAAGGATTTCTTGTTGGTCTGCTCTCAGGATCAGTCTACTTGTGCAAAGGTGCAGACAGCACGCACTGCACGCTTTCACTACATGCCACATCAGAAGCTAAAGTTGTCATCTAATATAAAACTTAGAATATGAATCCAGGGGCCCTTGAGGGGACCTCTGAATCTCTACCAGCTTGGACAGATACCTAATTCCTCACCTTTTGCCTGCATCTGAAACCACATTATCTAAAACCCCTAGTGGGCACACCCACACCCAAATTCTGTCAGTGCTTTTCAGCATCTGAAGACAGGTGTGTACTATAGGATATTTCATGGAAGCAAAACATTAAAATGGTAATTACTGGAAAATGTTTCTGATAAGAGAAAACATCCAGACACAAAATGTAAATGTCTATGGATGCCTTCCTAACAAAATGGTCCTTGTTTGCAAGAAATCTTTGTGTAGCAGATAGCAACATGCCATCAGCAGCAGCCGTGCGACTTGATCATTCCATGCTAGACTTCTGCATGCTGAGAGCACATACGGAGTTCCCAGAGGCAGAGCTGGGTGGACATCTGCACATCTGACAGACAGATGAGCAGAGGAGAAGCAGCAGGAAGGCATTCCGAGGAGGCGAAGCCAGCAAACATGAAGGCACAGAGGCACAGAGCCGCTGGCTGTGTGGGCGTCGCAACACAGAAGCCCCAGATCAAGGCAAAATGAAGCAGATAAACAGGATTACAGCAAATACATTATGCAAGGTTTCACCTCCAGGAGCCAGGGAGCAAGGTTGAGCAGGGTCCTGGAGGCTTGAGAAAGGTCTTA